GAAGTCATTAGCCACACAGTCATCATTAGCGAAGACGGAAGCCATACAACCAGCAGCACCAAAATCAACAGTCCCACATCCACCTGCAGTAAAACCAGCAACTGCCTCATCTGCTAGCCGACCCACGAACCAGAGCCCGCTTCTCCCAACACCTTCAGTTCCTCTCCCACCACCTCTGGACCCATGATCTTCTCCAAATGCCTTACCACTCTCCACACAGTCTTCACCACCACCTGCAGCATCTGAACTTCAATGTCGCCACTGTCCCAGACGGTGTGCTACGTCACAAGGTCGAGCACGCCATGAGAAAGCGTGCAAAGCAGCGGCTTCACAGCACAAGTCTCACCTCGAGGCTCATCTCACCCCAGTGCCATCTACAGCACCTCACATTCACCACACTGCCACGGTTGACGCATGGCTGGCCGCGGCTTCTTGGCTGTGGGATCGATTTTCAGAATTTGCATCACCACTGTTGATCAGGAGGATCCCGGACCGAGCACGGATCCCTGTCCTCGAAGTGCTTCTTCCAGTGCTGCAGCGCCTCAAGGACAACCCTTAACGACGGAGCTTCATTCCTCCTCCTTGCCTTCCCTCGCTTAGTTCTCCGCAAGCCAGAAACGGACAGCCTCGCATCTCAGGCTAAGACATGCATCAGTCGTGCAAATAGGTTTGCAAACGGAGACCTTGACAGTTTACAGCCTTGCAACACACCCTGCATCCATTTCATCTGCTCGCTCGACCTCGGATGAAGCACGCGTGTAGAGATGTCTTCGTTTTGCATCGGTTGGAGAGTGGTCACGTGCTTACGGAGCCTTAAAATCAGGAGAGCTTGCATCCCCAACAGCTGAAACTGTTGACAGGTTACAAGCTAAACATCCCCCCTCCACTCAACCTATCCCCCCCTGGGTCGATTCCTTCACCCCCATGGAGCTTCCGCAGCTGCCCATAGAACTACTTAAGGATGCCATTCGCACCATGACGTGGGGGGCAGAAGCAGGGCACTCTGGATGGATGGCGTAACACCTACGTGACACTTTCCTCGCTCATCCTTCCTTCCTCCCTTTCCTCCTCCCTGTACTAAACAACTGGCTGGCTAGCAAAGCATCTTCACGCTTCACTCCCGTCCTAGCAGCATCAACCCTCATTGCTCTCAAGAAGTCTAACGCAGACGTCCGCCTGATCGCAATCGGTGAAGTTCTCGTTCGTCTCCTTTCTCGTTGCGTCGCTTTGATGTTCAAAGAGCAAATGCAGTCCCAATTTCTTCTTGATCTTCAGCTAGGGGTCGGAGTCTCTGCGGGCATTAGTTCCCTGGTCTTTGGCATTCGGTCCTCCCTTGAGCTTCATCCTGACTGGGCTGTCCTGAACGTCGATGTTGCAAATGCATTCAATTCATTTCACCGCACAGCCATGTTCACTGTCCTTCAATCTTCAGATTTCTCCTGCCTTATCCCATTCTTCCGAATTTTCTACTCTAGCCCCTCACCTCTCCTCTTCCACTCAGGCCCACTACTTCACACACTTCAATGACAGCGAGGGGTCCGCCAGGGGGATCCCTGCAGTCCTTTCCTCTATGCAATCACGCAGCAGCTAGCTATCCGGGCCATCCGCACCGCCTTCCCCGATATCCTGTGCATGTCTTACGCCGATGACTCATACCTACTGGGACCCCCGCACCGCCTTGTAGCAGTCTTCCCCGCCCTGCAGCAGCAGTTTGCAGAGCTTGGCCTCAGTGTGCAGCCCGCGAAATGTCAGGTGTGGGCACCGCAGGGATGGCCGGACCCGATTCAGCTGTCTCCTGGTATCGCTCTCTAGGACAAGGGCATCATCGTTGCACGGGTTCCTGTAGGCGAGCCAGATTTCATCACTGCTGAACTGCGCAAACGGCTGGCCTCCCTCAGAACTACAGCCCCTTGGCTCCCTCACCTTGAAAACCCGCAAGTTGAAGCCCACCTACTGACCGTCTGCCTTTCAGCAAAACCCTCTTACCTTCTCCACAGAGGACCCCCAACCGAGGGCGTTCTAGAACAGTACAGTGACTGGGACTATCATCTTTTGGACACACTGATCTCTCTCTTTCCCCCAAATGTTTGGGATCTTGACACCGCCGAGGGACAGTTAGCGAGGTCACAGACTTTTCTTCCGATCAGATTAGGAGGGCTCGGCATTCAGAGCGCACGAAAACATGCTTCACTCAGTTACGTCTGCAGCTGGGCACAGGCGATCCCAGTGTTCGCCAACAACTGTTGTATCGAGAGTGACTGCTTCCTCCGCCCCTTCATAGCCACCGACACAGTCGACCGCCTAGACCCATAGGCCGCTCGCGCTCTAGCTGCCCTTCCTGACGACCTGCGCCACCTTGTTCCCCCCTGGTCCGCCTTCCTATCAGGGTACCCAAACCGACTTTTCTCAGCCTTAGCCCAGCGCATCTCCGCACACGCAGCAGAGCAACTGTGGGCAGCCGCTACCTAGCACCACCAGATGGTCCGTTTAGCCTCCCTTCAGGACCCATCTTCTGGCGCGTGGCTCACGGCTATCCCATCTGCTCCCCGTTCTCAGCTGGAACCTGCTGACTGGCTTATAGCAACAGAGTTGCGCCTAGGCCTCCCTATCCCTCACCTCCGTCTCCTCGAAACAACCCCACCATGCTCATGCGGCCACACTTACACCGATCCTACACTCCCTTCTCATGCTCTCCGCTGCCCTGACCTTCACGAGCCCACTCACGTGCACGATGCAGTAAAACACGAGGTAGCACGAGTAGCTAGGGAGCTTGGTTTCACAGTTCGTGTAGAGGACTCCACTCTGCTGCCAGATACAATAGTTGACATCACTTGCGTCGATCCCTATGCTGGCATTAAGTGGGCCCTTGATATCTCAGTAGCAGACCCTCAGCAGCCCTCAGCCCCAGCAACGGTGGCCCACACGGTAGGCTTAGCAGCGAAGCAGCGTGAATATGAGAAGCGGCATTATGCGAAAGCTTTGCATGACCGTCCGGCTGTCAAATTCATTCCCCTAACACTATAAATATTCGGATGCTTGGGCAGCGATTTCAAAGCCTTCTTGCATGACTGTAGTCGTCGTGCAGCAGCGCGTCATGTAGACTGCGGGGCAGCAGACAGTGTTCTGGCTAGCGTGTTCGAAACCTCATACGCACTTCGCATCTCCATGGCTCTGCAGCGCGCACAGGCTAGGTCGATCCGTCACAGAGTGGAAGCTGCTTTCCCTGCTTCAGAAGAGACCATTTCCAGCGAAGACCCTTCATTTTCAGAGCTTTCGGCCTTCAATGACAACGTTCCAGACCTTGTTTACCTGTAAAACCCCCGCATCTAAGGGGGTGTAGGCAATATAGGTGTTTTAGTGTAGCTTAGGGTACTGTCACTGATGTGCAGTTGTAGGGGTGTTCTGTCAAGTCAGTTCTGTCCTATTGGTCGTGTCAGTTCTGTCATGTCTGTCCTGTTTCTGTCCAGTCGTGTCTTATACGCGTAGTTGTCTTCACCGGTACACCACCTCACCATGTTATCACACCTCACTATGTGTGGTATTCGCTACAGGGTAAAACTTGTTGGGCTGAGAAGTAGCCCTTAAGATCTTTTCAAGGCTAAGATCTCTTGTAGTAGGAATGTTGTAGTTTGCGGAAGCGCTTAATAAAGATGTATTTGAACCACCTTGTACTGGTATATGAGAACAAGATAAGTTCATAGTAGCAGAGAGATACAAAGCTTTTATATGATTACAAAGGAATATGAAACGATCTACTTTAACTGTTTTGCTGTTGCGGTTCAATACAGTGACGACTCGGGTAACTGCTCAGTATCGAGTCAGTTATGTTTCCTTGCTGTCGCACTGTATTTTTTGTCGAGTCAAAGGTCAGCGACCTTTGACCTTCGCGTAACCTCCAGCTGTTACGGTTGTTGACTCGCATGTTGTTTCGCTGTAGTCCGCTCCATTTCGCGTCGATACTTCGATTACTTCTGAAGCGTTAAGTTACTTGTTTCCAATTCCAACAAAACTTGCTAAGAAGAACGGTAACCCTTGGGCGACAGTGTGCCTTACGTAAACCCTGGCATATCAGGAAAATCTAAGCTCCATAAAATTTTACCCTAAGGCATCAATGTGACTACCAAAAACCACTTTGATTATCAGTGTGTCATGGTGATTTACACCGATAAAATTAGCCCTGATGGATAGCCTTGATGCCAAAACCAAATGAGCTACGCGGGAACCAAGACTCGGGAAAATTGCCTTGTTGTACGAAGCTTACCCGAGATTACCGGTACATTTTGAACATTCCCTTACGTTGCAGCGCCATTTATATGCTTTACACAATTGTCATTCATGTTCTGTATTCTCCCATGTGCAATTCACTCAACACTAAAAAGTTAGCGAGCCCAATATCCAGCACTTTAACGAGTACTCTTAATATACCAAGCGGCTGTGAGTTGACTGGTGTCGCTCTGACGGTGGCGTGACTGAAAATCAGGTGAAGAAGTTTCGTGGTGTTGACCGTGAAGGTATTTCTCAGCCCAGGATCTTCGCGGGACTGTCGGTTGAGCGAAAACATTTTTTTCAGGCTCATTTCAATAATCTCACGCCAGCAGAGTTGGCGATCAGGAGGAGAATGGGTAATGAGAAAGCCCTGGCAGGGTGCCAATTTCGTCAATCGTCAGGAGTTGGACTTCTCTGCAGGTGCCAGTTTCCAGGTGCCTTCGTACTGAACCATCAAAGCACGGCAGGGAGACCAACTGGCACCTGGCAGTGCGGAATTGGGGTTGGGTTGGAGGAATGGAAGCAGAGTGCCTTTCTGGCCCCGAATCTGCTTCAAATCTCGTCACTTCGCAACCAGGAGGCAACTGTAGTGATAGTGGCTGCTGGGTTTGATGAAAACGGCGCGTTTCACGGCTATCACTGCAAACAACACGATCAGCGTGCTTTCAATCAGCGTCCGTTCATCCTAGCTATTCGCACCGAGCTTCCCCTTAACCTCACTCCACCATTTTTCCATGCCTTGCATCGCACCCGCTGCTCCCCCTGTGCTTGTCCCCCTGCTCGCTCCCATGTCGCCCCTCGACTGCCGCCATCATCGCAGCGCCCTCTGCAAAGCCGTGCTTCCCTCGTTCCCCTCGGCTGACGAGGCGCAGGTGTCGGATCGCGCGATCGACGTGTCAAGCTCTCCGCCATGCCCGCTCCGCCACCACTCGCTTCCGCCGCTCGTCCTGCGCCGCCCATCCCTGCCGCCCCTCGACTCCACCGCTCGCTCCTGCCTCGCGCCACTCCCCCCTTCCCCGCCTTCCCCCACTGCTGCTGGCATGGCGTGCAGAGTCAATACGACAGGCTCAGCAGTGCTTGGGGCGCCGGCAGTGCTGTCGCACGCCAGCACGCACGCGCCTAGCGCGGCCTCACCCGGTTGCGCCACCAACTGCGATCCGCCTCACGGCTGCGGACGCGAGACGTCGTGCGCGGCGTGCGCATGGCGACAGCGGCTGCGCGCGCTGCTGGCATCTGCCACAACAAAAGCTCCGGGAGGCGGAGAAGGCAAGGGGCAAGTGCAGGCGGTAGCGCCGCGCGGGCCACACGGCGAAGCGCGGCTGCCGCTGGGGGAGGAGCAGCAGCGACAGGCGGTGGCGCCACTGCCGTGCAACGTGCCATGCGTGCACAGCGCTGCGTGTGGCGCACGGGGTGGCGACAGCACGCCGTGTGCGGCAGCGGCAGCGGCAGTGCAGGGCGGTGCGATCCAGGGGCGCGCGGATGGCGGCGAGGTGCTCTGCACGCATGACGCGCAGCAGCAGGAGCAGCGAGCGCGAGAGCAGGGGAAGGAGGGCGCGGTTCTAGCAGCGGTTCTAACATCCCGCATGGCAGCGTCGTGTGGCAGCGCCTCTCCCCAGCGGAAGAGCGCAGGTGCAGCTGGGGATGAGCAGCGGGCAGGCAGGGGCCACGAGTGGGCTGCTTATAGCATGGGCGTCGCTCAGGTGAGCGCCGCTGTGCGCACCTTACCACTGCTCCGCAACTTGCTTCTGTGCTGCTTGCACTAGGCCACGCTCTCTCTTTCCACTCCTATGCCGTCCCTGTGCGCCCCTCGCCCTGCCCCACCACGTGTCTGCCGTCCTCTCTCATTCTCCACTCGCCCGCCACCTCTCCCCGCCCTCGCCATGCACTGCCCCAGGCGCCACTAGCGGTGCTCGCACAGCGGGGCACCGAGGGAAGCCCAGCAGCAGCAGAGGCGGCAGGCGAGGAGAGCCCGCCGTGCCTGGTGCTGCCGCTGGGCGTCAGCCCTGAGCTGCTGCTCGCGTCACCAATACTGCCGCCCTCTCATGTGCGTCACTCCTCTCCGCTCTCGCCATCCCTCCTTCCCCATGAATCCCCCCCCCCCCCTCCCCCCCCCCCTTGCCCTCCCCCCTCTTTCTTGATTTATGTCACGCTCACACGCACACAAATTCACTGCCCCTTACTCTTTTCATTCTGCTTTTCCCATGTCTCACTCACTCCCCTTGGCATGCACTTCTCATGCTGACTATTCTGCATCGCCTGCTCACAATCATCTCCTCCGGCCTCCTCTCTCCCTGCAGCGCGCGTTCTGCCTAGCCACCTCGTCAGCATCGGGCCAGGTGGTTCCAGGAGCTGGCTCACGACAGGGCTCTCACGAGCAGCACCCGCGTGCAGCTGCGCCCTGTCCCTGTGCGCGCACCAGCGCCCCTTGCACCCACCACCATGCCGCACACCTGCCCTCCCAAGTGCGCGTGCACGACAGCTGGGCGGAGGAGGTGGGAGCGAGCACGGGGAGGGAGGATGGCGGTGGGGCATTCGGGAGGGAAGGCGCAGGAGTGGGGGAGGGTAAACCGAAAGGGATGCAAGAGCAGGCGTGTGGCGATGGAATAGCAGATGTTGGGAGCGCGGTGGGGATGCACACTCGGCAGCCTGGGACTGCAATGGAGGCACGCTGTAAGGAAGGGGCGATGGTGGGCGGAAGCAGAGGGCTGAAACGTGTGCGGGGGGAGGAGAGAAGGACGAAGGGGGAGGGCAAGGCGGGTGAGAAGAGAGCATCCAGCAAGAGGTGAGGAGTGGGAGTTCGAGGTGATATGGCCGGCAGGTTGAAAGGCTGTCTCAAAAAATTTACCTGACTCCGGCTGTACGTTATGGGTATTTAATGGCAGAAAGGGGCATGTTGCAGAGAGAGTTGGTTCATCAATTTTGTGTGTGCTGATTGCCCATGTTGTTCCTGTGCAGGCATTGTGCACCACCCGCATTGGCCTCCCAGCCATGCTCAATTGCTGCTGCGGACGGCTCGCAGCAGCAGCAAGGAGTGGGGAAGAGGCAGAGCGAAGGGCAAGGGAGTGAGGGGCAGGGTGGAGGCAAGGGTGCGAAAGTGGTGGTGCGCGTGGCACATGAAGAGGAGGCGGTGGAGGATGGGTACCGGTGGCGCAAATACGGTCAGAAGGTGGTGCAAGGAAATACATACCCTCGGTGAGACTTGCCTTGCCATCATGCCACCTCCTCTCCTCCGTGTTACCATTCTCTTCCTGACCCCACCTAGCCCCCACCCAGCCCCCCTCCTCCCCTGGCACCCCTCCCTTCCTGGGTCAGCACCACTGAGCAGTTCTTTCCCTGTGTCTCTCCTCCATTGCTCTTCCCCTGTCCTCCATCTCAGGAGCTACTTCAAGTGCAGCCATCCAGGATGTGTGGTACGCAAGCATGTGGAGCGATCGAGCCACCCACCCTTTGACGTGGTAACCACATACGAGGGCCGGCACAACCACGACCTCCCAGCAGCGAAGCCAGGCCACGTGTACATGTGCTTCGAGGGGGAGGGGGTGTTCACTGTGTCTGCTGTGCCTGTAAAGGGTGTTGCTGCAAGCAGGGCTGAGAGCAGTGGATATGGAGAGATTTAGAGTGCAGGTGTTTTCAAGATACTACGGTACCGTACATGTACATCTCAGGCCCTCAGATTCATAGTTGAGCTGTCTGTTTTCTCAGATTTGGTACACAGTTTTAGGCTGATCAATCTGACTTGCTGCCAAAAAACTGGAATTACAGAGTACATAAATGTGGAGTGAATTGTGTGACTAGGATGAGGAACATGAGATATGGTACAAGTGTGAAACCTAAAAGTGTTGCACCCTCTAAATGGCAACTCGTTGTAGCCCGGCATAACTACGCTACGGTAACAATTACGGCATGTAAATATAGTTTTACACCGTTGAAGTATAATAAAAAGACTTATACAATTCAGTATGTTAGAATCTGAACTGTTTGAACAGGATCGTAGTCTTAGGATAGTAGCTTCCTGTAGCAGTGGAAGTCTTTTATATGAGTGACTTGTAACAGGATCAAAGGTCTCTGAAATCAAGTATATTATGAAATGACAAGCATACAGAATATATAACTAGACTAAAGTACCTGTTCGCCTACTGTGCTGTATTTATTCGCGCTATTCCTGTTCTGAAAAGGTACGTGACTATTCGCGATACCTACAGCTACTGATGACGTCATCCTAAGGCGCGTAGCGCTTTGCTGACGTCAGTCTATCGGTACTTTTACTGTACTAACTATACGAATTCCTTGAAGTGCATAAGTCTCGACATTATCTCAACACTCCCCTTCACTTCTAGGAGTTCGGTGTAGTCACCCTGTTGACTCGGAAATGCCACTGAGCTGGTTGCAGTGATGAAATTTCTGACGTGTCAGCTTCTTAGTAAGCGAATCAGCGGCCATGTCGCTGGTGGGGCAGTAGACAAGGCGCATTCTCCCCTTGTCGATCGCGTCTTTTACGAAGAAGTAACGCAGCGAAATATGCTTCGTGCGATTGACGAAACCAGGCTTGTTGGCGATGGTAATTGCACTCTGCTTGTCGCACTGCAACGTGAACTGATTCGGCGTGACGAATTTTGCTTCGTCAAGTAACTCCTGCAGGTACAGACCTTCGCGAGTTGCAGCACAAGCGGCGATGAATTCTGCTTCAGCCGATGAAAGTGACACCAGTTCCTGTTTCGAGGAATTCCAGGAAATCGGACCAATCGGCTCGAGACGGAAAATATAACCCGTGCGTGACCGTCGATCTGACGTGTCGCCAGCGTGGTCTGCGTCAACGTACCCGCTGAGGTACATTTTGTCGGTCAGCTTCCCAGCATTGAAAATCAATCCGAGTGTTGGTGTAGAGACGAAGTAACGTAACGCACGCTGTAAGTCGAGAGAGTGTTCTTCTTTCGGGCAGCGTAAAAACTGCGCAAGGTGACTTGCGACGTAGGCAAGATCAGGGCGACAGGTGACTGCTGCAAAAAGAAGACATCCCAGCTGCTGCTGATACAGTTGAAGACCAGCTGCTGACAGATTTTTCAGGTTGGGAACGTGCCCGGTGAGTGTAGACCGACAAGGTGTAGCAACGAAATCCGTGGGGATATTAAAACGCTTAGCGAGTGACTCCGCATACTTCGAAGCCATGAGATGAATAGCGGAAGAAGTTCGCGAAACGTTTAACCCCAGAAACTGAGTTACTTTGGTGGAAATGGTTAAGTCAAGTGACTTCTTCAGATCAGCTTCGATACGATCACCCAGCGAAGTAGACGAGCTGACGTAGAGGATGTCGTCCACGTAAGCCACTAACAACGCATAGCTCCCCTTGTCGTCTAGCCGGTACATCCCTGGATCGTGTGGCAGTTGTCTAAACCCAACCTCCGTCAGCTTCCTGTTCAAATGCTGCTGCCACAGTCGCGGTGCTTGTTTGATTCCGTACAGTGATTTTTTGAGCTTGCAGACACTCGGCGGATTTGTCGGATAGGTGTGTGGATATTCGATGTAGATTTCGGCATCGACGTCGGCGTACAGAAAAGCGTTGGAAACATCGATTTGTCGAAGTGGAAAATTCTTCGCGGCTGCTTCGCAAAGAACGAGTCGAACACTCGTATGTCGACTGAGCGGGGCGAAAGTAAGTGTGTAGTCGATCCCATGAGTCTGATCAAAACCACGAACCACCCATCGTGCCTTGTGTTTCTTGTAAGTACCATCCGCTTTAGTCTTCACCCTGAAGACCCACTTACCGGTAAGAACATTTTTGTTTACCGTTTTTTCAATGGGTATAAGATCCCAAGTTCCCCTTTTCTCCAGGGCAGCCAGTTCGCGATCCATCGCTTCACGCCATTTTTCGCGATGAGGCCCTGAGAGAGCTTGTCGGGCAGTTTTCGGCTCCAAATTCACTGTAGAACTGTGCTGTACCGCTGCTGCGAGTCCCAAAATTTGCAGTCCGGTCTGATAATGTGGATTATCGTCGGGACGACCTGCGAAATTGACAGAATCATTCTGGTCTCCACTTGCCCCCCCAATTTCGTCAGGGTTGACACGGATGCTGCTATCGGAAACCACCGGCATTGGTTGGCGTTGTTCATCCACGAGGTAAGTATGATGAACTTCGCGGACATCCTCAGGTGCCGCGTCAGCAAGAGGAATAAACTCAGGAATTCCAGATGACGTAACGGGGACAGGTGGGTCGGGAGCAGTTTCACGTGCACCGTCAGAGTCAGGTTCTTCGCTGGCAGCAATTTCGACATCGGCGTTATCAAACGAACGAACACCGTGGAAAAGTGTGGCAGGGTTTTGCTGCATGGCAAGATGCTGTTCGAAGACGGGCAGCGTCAGATTCTCGTAGAAAATACAGTCGCGAGCAGGAACAAGAAGACGGCTGCGGTAATCCATGATACGCCAGGCAAAATATTGTTTTTCAATGCCGAGATGTAGTCCCCACTTAGCACGCTGATCGAACTTCCCGAGCGGAGCGGTAGGAGGACGGTACTGAACAACACACCCGAAAACACGAAGTAATTTAGTGGTACCCAACTTGCCCGTCCACAGCAAGTGGGGTGATGCGTTGTTGGGCAGGGCCGAGGACGAAAGAAGATTGTGCAACAGCGTTGCATGGTCCATGGCGAAAGGCCAGTAGAGTGGGCCGAGTTGAGCCTGGGCAAGAAGGGCTCGCATCTTCTCTTGCAGAGTCCTGTTGAGCCTCTCTGCTACGCCACTCTGCTGATGAGCGTGAGGCAACGAAAAAAGTCGTCTTATCCCGCGTTCTTGCAGATAGGTCGTGAACTCAGTACTGCGATACTCGCCGGCGCCGTCACACTGAAACGCCTTGAGCTTAGTATCAGACCCTCGTTCGGCGAGAGGAAGCCAGGTGCGAAAAGCTGTAAACACAAGAAAACGGTTAGTCATGTTTCCAGTCCAAACGTAACGAGTAGAAGCGTCTGTAAATGTGATAACGTAGCGTTCGCCGTTGAAACCATCCTCAGGTAAGTTAAGTATATCGCTGTAAACCTTATCCATTAGTTGATAATCGTCAGCTCCAGGGAAATGAGTCGGGAACGGCTCGTGCGGTAGGTTTGCCGCAGGGCAGATGGTGCAGGGTGCCGGGCGATTCACCGGCTTCAGTTCGAGACCGCTCGGTAAGAGTAACGAATTTTTGTCAAGCACTGCAGCCTTGATCGTGTTGTTTAGCGTAAACTGCGACGGATGACCAAGTCGTTTATGCCATGTTTCTCCCGTGGCTTTGTGACCTTGTGCGCGCAGGTAATACTCGGCGTTAGCGAAGAACGACAACAGAAGTTGATGACCATCGGAGCGGATCTGATCGAAAGCAGGTGCGACGTAACGAGTTAGATTTGGTGGTGGAACACGAACCTCAACATCCACGTACTCGCCTGGAGCAAGTACTAACTCGCCGCTTTCTTGATCGGATGCTGCAGGTACAGGTTCAACTCCAACGAGACGACCCGAGTCAAGAATCTCCATTTCAGCGACGCGTTGTTCAGCTTCAGCGAGAAGACGAGCATCGCGTTCAGCAGGTGTCTCGCCCCAAGTTGTTTCATCAGGTTCGTCAGCCCCCCAGATGCCGTCATCAGTCGGCATGTTCGTCGGATCACCCCAACCTTCAACTGCAGCCATGTACTCCCGAGAGTTCTCAACATCATTCAAGCCTTGATCGTCAAAGGTCAACATGACGGCGGCAGCCGTGGTTGAAGACGTCGGGACAACTCCCTCACGTGGAACTGTATCGTCGTTGTAATCAATATCATCACGATGCTCCCAAGGACCAAGCGAGAGAATGTTATCAGAGTCGGCAGTAGTGCGCTCAGGTATGAAGTTCAAAACGAAAACACCGTTTTGCTCAACTGACGTGCCGAGTTTCTTGTCGCCGTACTTCAGAGTGAATTTCCCAGGTTCACCGAGAAGTGTAATCCCGTTCTTCATAAGCTGTGCAGATGACATGAGGTTGAAGCCAAGACGAGGGACCAGAAGAACTTCGTTCAGGTGAAGACTGAAGTCTTCTTCAACTGAGTCCAGAACAATACTTCCCATCCAGTGAGCTGTAAGTCGTTGGTTATTGGCGACCGTGACGACAACGGGATTCTCCAGACGGCGTTGATTCACGATGAAACGCGTCTCTGACGAACACATGTGCTGACCGCAGCAACTGTCGAGGTACCAAGTATTGGGACTTGCAATGGTATGTGCAAGATTTGCATAGACCTCAGGTGGAATCGGTGTGTTGAGTTCGTTGTTGAACCGGTTGTGAATCCGCTCTTCAGCATCAGGATCATAAACCGTCATCGTTCAAGAAGCGCCCGTGTCCAACACCCAATAGTCCAGGGGGTGCAGCTCTGCTCCAACGTGGCAGAGGCGTCTCCTTGCTCCCCCTGCTCTCCAATATGGAAGAACTGGCCCGCAGTGCGCTCTTTGTGCTTCTCCGCGCCGCCGTTGCTCTTCGGGTTGTTGTCGGACGAATCGGCGACCATGTTCGCACCGTTTATCTGGTTCCTACGTGCGCCGCCATCCTGGTGACGATTCTGGGGGGTCCATCCATCGGGTTTCTTATAGCACAAAAACCAGGGGTCCCCCTCCTTCT